AAGGAGGAGGGGGAATTAAGTAAAAGGGGGGATTAAGAAGAAGGGGAGGGGGGAAATTAAGAAGAAGAGGTAGGGGGAATTAAGAAGAAGGTGGGGGATTAAGAAGAAGGGGGGAGGGATTAAGAAGAAGGGGGGATTAGAAGAAGGGGGAGAGGTGGGGGGATTAAGAAGAACGGGGTGGGGAGATTAAGAAGAACAGGGGGATTGGGGGAATTAAGAAGAACGGGGGATTAAGAAGAACGGGGTTAAGAAGAACAGGGGGAGTAAGAAGAACACAGAGAGGAGGGGGAAGAGTAAGAAGGACACAGGGAGGAGGGGAGAGAAGGGGAGATGAGGAGAACACAGGGAGGGTGGGGGAGTGAGAAGGACACAGGGAGGGTGGAGGGAGTGAGTAGAACACATGGGGGGAGGTGAGGAGAACACATGGGGGGGAGTGAGAAGAACACAGGGAGGGAGGGGGCTGAAAAGAATACCGTAGGTTTGGGGGAGGGGGGATGAGAAGAGCACAGGGAGGGTGGGTGTGAGAAGTGACTGCTAGGGAATGGGGGGGGAGAGACCACTAAGGGGCAGGGGAGAGCTCTATAGGACAGGGGGCAGGACAGGGAGCTCTTTCACACTACGCACACACACACACAATGCATCCCTATACACACAAAACACACATGCATCCCTACACACAAAGACAATGCATCCTTTGCACACATACACAGAAAACACAATGCAAACCCTTACACACACATGCAAACACACACACTGCTTCTCTTACATATACACAGAAACACAATGCATTTCATACACACACTCAATGCACACACTTACAGACACACACCTTGCATCCCTTATGCATATAAACACAGATTCACACAATACATCGCTTATACACAAACACACACTGCTTCCACTACAAACAAATACATTGCATCACCTACACAAACTGGTGTCCCTATACACTACATACCATAAGCACACATATTAGATCCTCCACAATAACACATAACACATCCCCTACACACTCCACTCCCTGTGAGCGAACTCATGGGTGGAACATGTAGGTGGACATTTAGGTGGGCCTTATGGGCATACTCACCGTCAGGCCCTGGGACCCAGACCTTGAGCTGTTTAAGGGGCCCCCAAAAAATTGAGCTGCTTCCCATTCTACTAGAACTTTGAATTTTGTGACCACAGTTACAAACAGCCTTCAGAGATCCTGTTCTACACCAGACCAGTGGAGCCAAACTGCAGCCCATCATCATCCTCATCTGGTTGTAAGAAGGCAATCTAGTATATTATTAGTGACACTTATCTATAATTTACCTCACATTAAAGGGACACTATAGTCCCCAGAACCACTTCAGCTTAATGAAGTGGTTCTGGTGTCTATAGCCGGTCCCTGCAGGCTTTTTAATGTACACACACTGTGTGCAGCATTGGCATTAGTTCATATGGCAGATCATATAGGTGGGGCATTGTGATGTCACATGGGAGGGTGGCAAATTTTTCTTTTGCCTAGGGCAGCAAAAATCCTTGCACCGGCTCTGATCATGGGCAGGTGCACCAGTCTACTGGTGACCCACAGGAGGGGAGTGCACTGATTGCACTGAACTCTCCTCCTGCCCAGACCTGTCTTTACCGCAGTGCAAGTGCATTCTGCCCCTAATTTACAGTGGCTCACACTCACAACAAGCAGTGCCTGGAGCCCTTTGCAGAGACCGGAACAAAGAGGTTCTGCGGCAGCTGGCCGTCCTGCAAGCATTACATTAAACAGCTGTTCCCCATGCAGCCACAGGTGGCGTTGTGCTGGGAGAATGTGATTACTCTTCACTTCCTCCCAGCCTACAGAGCAGCGCATGGGAGAGAGGGAGGAGAGGCATGATTTAATCGTACAACAAATCCACTAAGCAAATCTTTATAAATTTGGGGGGATCAGCTCTGTTTCCACAATTTGTTGGTGTTTACTCTGATGTCTGCATTAATACTGAGGGATTTCTAAGTAGTAACATCAGTGTGTATCAGCAGGGCCAGCCGTTGGGTTGTGCAAGCTGTGCGGTCATGCAGGGTGCCATGACAACAGAGGCGCCCGGCAGCCAAAACAGCTCACAAGTTGGGTACACCAGCCTATCCAATTTAAACAATTCGCTGGTGGTCCACTGGTGCGCACCAGCAGTAGGTGCAGTCAGATTATATCCTCTCCCTCGTGGTTCCGGCGCTCAGTTTGTGAGTCGGAACACAAGCTCAGAGATTCTCAGCCTGTGCTCTGACAACATTGAAAGTCAGAGCCGTGAAGGAGCGGGTATAGCAAAGAGCTACTGATTAGCATAACATCAATCTCCGTTATAAAACCAGGAAAAGGTGGGCATGGATGGTGAACTGATTTGGTGGTGCAATGGGCCACTTGACTGGTTTTGCCCCCCAGGCCTATAGCTGCCAGCCCTCCCCTGGTAATAGCCGTATAATAACAATGGTGT